AAAGGGTTTTGTACAATTTACAAAGGGAAAAAAGGCGTTTTTACAGTTTACAGTGTTAAAAAATGGACATTGAATGTCGAGAGCTTTACGACTCAAATCTCCGCCATACTGCGCCGTGTGTGGAGACGCATGCGCATATTACCCTCGTAATGCTCTTCATTCGGTTAGAGAGCCTTTTACGTCTTGACATTCAATTTTGCAGTGAACTGTGTCATCTAGCCGTTTTACAGTTTCTAAAATGTCATTTCCCTGGATTATTTTTAACGATTTTTTCATTTGGATGTAAATTCTTGTACGTACCGAGAAAAATGATACATTTTTACAGTGTACGAAAAAAATATTTGATTGATTACGTTGTACGTCTAGCCTGTGATTACAGAATTACGGAATTTATTTTTTCTATTTACGTTGTACGAACAAAAAAATATTGCAATTACGTTGAACGAAAATAACCCTTGCCCCCCCCCCCGGTATATGTATATATGCTCTTATATATATGTCCACATCTCGACGATGGCCGTTATACATTAGCATAATGATACAAGAAATGTTTTATTAAAAGTAAAGCAAGACAACAGAACGATAGTTACAGATATTGCCGCCTTAAATATACTGATGCACTCAAGTGCCTGCCTGATCTCCATATTAGATATGTTATTGTCACTGCAGACAAAGCTAACATCAACATAGTATTTCTTTGTAAATTATATTATTATACATCTCTCACCGTAACGCCATCAGTTTTAGCGTGCCGCAATTTTGCGGTATTTTACGGCGTATTTTCATCCTACCATATTAGGAAATGCGAATTCCAAATATGGAATGATTACGCGCGTAAGCGTGTTCTAATTATAAAAACAAACATGGCTGCCACCAGGGTTTGACCCGGGGGTTTGACCGGACTCCATACAAAGAAGTTCACTGATTTCAGCATTCCCATTATGTATCCTTGGCAGGAAAAGATGTATAATAATAAGGTATTACGAGAATACCTCAAAGTATGCACTCAGACAGTACGCTGTCGCATCGACCTCCTCAGCGCAAAGGTCGATACTGCCGCTGTACTGTCTTCGTGCATATTTTGAGGTATCTTCGTATTAACCTTATATTATTATGAGTATCTTATTGAATAACTTGGACTTACTCGATATAATAATTCTACTTACAACCTAATACCCAACGATAAAATGAAAGTCTTGTTATTTACAGGTCAATAATGAAATATATTAACATTCCACTCAAAAAAGTATTGGATGATTTGCCCAACTTATATAGAATACTCAAACCCACAGAAAAGCCTACAAAACTAGACTTATTGCTGGACCATTTAAATGTTCAACCAAAGAGATGTCTAAAATAATAATAATAATAAAATAATATGTACTTTGTATACTATTAAAGAGGGGCTACAAAAATGTGATGTCATCTTTTCTAGAAGTGGTATACATCAAATGGGAATATTGAACATTTTTTGGATAAATCAAATTCGCTTTCAAATTTGACTTCATTTTTAATAAAAATTACCAGTATACCTATTATTATTGACAACATAATTGTTTGGGATATATTTTTCAATATAGTATCGGCATTCCAATATAGACTAATTATATATAACATTTCTGAGCAGACACGCTGCCACCCAGTAACTTGTATTCTTCACCAGGAAGCTAGTATCTAACTGCAGTCTTTTTAGATAAACATTTGATTTACTAATTTTTAACACATCAGAATAATTCAGAGTATATTAGATTAAGAATGTTACTCGTTTGATAAGAAGGGTCATTCATCTTCTAATTCAATATCATCCTTTGAGACACACATATTCCCACTAAAACAATTTTAGGTGCAACTCTTACAACTATAGCCATGGATCGTCATAGCAATATCACACAGACAGTTTTTCATACAATATTTTAATTCTGGATATCTGATATCTGGCCTAAATTCAAAACGAAATTCGTTACAAATTTCTGTTTTGTATGGGAGCTAGCATCCTAAAGTGTTCTTTATGCGATGGGGGGGGGTCCTCATTTTGTCATGTTTGTCATGTCAGATCATGAGGGAGCATACATAACTTTATTCTCCACGCAGATAATCTCATTCCCCCAGCGCGTTGTTGAATTTCATGTAAATAAACAATGAATTATAAATTATAAATAAATAACCCAGTGATAAACATAATGCTGCACCAAGTAATCCCCCTGTATTTGGTAGTCCACATCAGTACACTGGCAAATACATAAAAGGCCCAGCCGTAAATTAATGGCAGCTTCTTGTCTCTGTCTTTAAAGTACTGTGTATAGTGTATGGATTTCATATGGGATCAAAACACACCATTTCCTCTAATTCCGATAAGAAGAGTATAACCACTTGTAGTTTACATCACTGGAAGTTTAATTGTGTATTAAAAATGATCCCATGCTTACTTATATGGTGAGTTTATTACTGGAATGGCTCTAGTCTGTACAGAAAGATTGAGTTGAAATTGGGAATAAGGCACTGTTCCGATAACCCAATAAGATTAGTATAATAGTAGTCCAGGATGTATGACTTTATAGATCTCAATCAGTTTTTATACTTAACAATACAACATGGACATCTTACCTCACATCGCAGCTCCCGAACTATCTATCTATTTAATAAAAAATATTGGATATTATCAAGTCGTCGTGCAATTGGAATCCAGGTTGGCTTACTAGTTCCAGCCATACTACATAAACAGAGAGAAAATGTGACACCGGACGCTTTTAATCACATCAACATTATATCGTGCGACCACCGTCTCTCATAATACGGATAATTTCATACAGCCCGTTGTCATCCACGCTGTCACGACAAATACAACTCAGAGTTTAAGATGAATACTAATTGCATAAATAATAATTCAATGACGAATTAATTCATTTTCATACTAATTTGGTAGAACTCGTCACTGACAGTTTATCTTCTGTCATATCCATTGTGACTATTGACAGCGTACAAATTAAATTACATATACATTTATTGTAAATTAAATATAAATGACAGTAAATTCTAAAAGATTTCTATAATCAGCTCAGTTTATTACAAGACTTATTTGATTCAGTTTCAAAAACTACGATTTGATTAAGAGATAATTTTGGGTTGATCGACATACAAGGCTGACAAGAAAGGTAGTGAATTCCAGAGATACATGAGTATTACTCACTCTCATGTCCTTGGATTTATACAATCGTTACATATTGTAAAGAAGTTGAATATGACAACTGCAACTATATTTTACATTCAACTCGTCAGCGAAGAATAATTTCAACTTCATAAAATTCGAAAAGTAAAGCAGTTGATGCAGGTTAATATTTTCTGGTGAATCAAATTTATTTAATTCAGTAGAGAAAAAACATAACCATTGAACTTGATCAAGATGTATATACACTACTTGTTGTTTAGTCACATGGGGAACGCGTGTAATACCAATACCAACAATAATTTGCTCTGAAAAAAATCGCAGCGAACGATTTTGTTAAACTTATTATTTTATGATAAACACTATCATGAATGATTCTCAAAAAAGTGAAAATCATTCTCTGGAATATCTTTCCGTTTCCAGGACTCCCACTCAAAACACAAAAGTACATTGGAAAATTTTACAAGCGACGAATCCGCTGAGCAATTTATTTTCAGGGACTTGTTCTATTGATCCACTGTTGATATGTGGATCAGTGACTGCAATTAACAACATATACATCCGTTATGCCTAATCTGCTTGGCATTGGCAGTATAAATCCAAAATTCAATATACCTGTGACAAAGTTATCTTTTAGAAAGTGAATATTGGCTTAATATAGACATATACACGAAATAGATCCTTAGACAATAAATTATCATTAAATGTTGATGAATTGTAAAGTTATTCAAAAAAAAAAATTCCACGTGGAGATGAAATAATCAGTATGCTAGCAATTTTTGCTGATAACATAATTTTTCAGCAAAATATCAACGATTAAGTGGAAACAAATTGTGTCCCCGTGCTGTCTGGCAGTTTTATTTTTTACAGAAATTAGTTAAAAACAAAAACGCAAAGCGCTATGACACTTTTGGTATATGCGCTATATAATAATAATTATTATCATTAGCCAAATCTTCTAATTTAACATTCTACGATCCTAAATTTAGTGATTATATTACAATGATATATCCAGTTGAACTTGAGATTAATGAAACTAAATATTACTTAGCCTTCAAATGAACTCTTACAACTTTTACAATTTTTTACATCTTTATAGCAAAGTGCCACTCCCTCCATTCACTATCCCTGATTTCTTTTAAAAATGGCATTATCTTAATTCGCCCAAACTATTGAATCAAGAGTTTTATAAAAAATGGCCTTAACTTTAAAAGGTTTTTGGCATATATAATGAGCTTATATTTGAATAAAATAACAGTTACCAATCGATCAAAGATGGCACAAATTACACCACTTTATTATGATTCAGAATGGTATATTTCGAGGGTCACATGTCGAGCAGCACGTGCTCTCTTTTTCCTGACGTCACTTCATATATACCATGGATTTTTTTGTCGATTATTTTCAATCGGTTATTTTGTAGTCCTGTAATTCAAACCTGGACGACTTTGACAAAGATCTGTGAATATGGTACTATACTTTACATGAGCTTTCAGAAAATAGAGACTTAAACCGTGAGAAATGAAACATAGTGTGTATTACTTTCGGTTTACACACGTGTCATTCTGAAATAAGTTTTAGTTTCCCAGAAATGTAATTCAATAAATGATTTTGCTCATCCTGTTGTCATGGATATATCAAGAATGTAATTAATCGCGTGTGTTCTCATAAAGAATGCAAGAGAAGTGTCGTCCTCTGCCACAGGCAAAATCTTGCAGGTCAAATGCCAAGATTTTATTGCATGCACTGCCATTATTGTGAAATACGCTTTTGGTATTACTGAAAGATTAAATCTCGTCATTCGGCGAGCATGACTTGGTACGCATGCGCCCTAGAGAACACAGTGGGAATAATCTCGACACATAATTATTATCGGTATAACAGATCTAGTCATTGTTTTGTTGCCGGGAATACATTTGTGATTTTTAATTATTTTTCAACTAATTCTCAAATATATTTTTGAATTTAGTTAACATTACAATAATAATGTACGACTATGAGACTAATGTAGATGTTGATAGTGATAATGGTGTAGATGGAAATGATATTTTATTTTGCACTATACCAAATAAGATATTAAAATGGACGTTCTTTCCGCGTAGAATAACGACGAACATGTTCTCAAATAAGACCACAACTTCCTGGACATTCAAATGTGGGTAAAAATGGTAATACCTAGCGTCATAAACTGTGTTGGTGTTAGATCACCGCGATCAACATGTAATTATAAGTATCCTCAGCATGGGAAAAGATATTCAATGGTACAATGTTCCCCAAAGATGATATTTGTCATTGTATCAAGTTAAGGCCAGTACCACAGATAATGTTATCGCACTTATACACTTGTAAGTTTATCGACTTTAGGAATGTATTGTATCGGGAATTAACTATTTGAAAACGTTATTGAATTGACGAACATGAAAAATGAAAATCTAAAAATTCAACAAAAGCCAAGTTCAGTAAAATGGTAGATAGTAGATCTGATGGCAAAGAATACTTCTCATTTACCGAGTAACTATATAAACCTGCACTTCACGTATACTGTAAAACAAATATACCATGGGCTGTAAAACAAATACCATGGGCTGTAAAACAAATACCATGGGCTGTAAAACAAATACCATGGGCTGTAAAACAAATACCATGGGCTGTAAAACAAATACCATGGGCTCAAGAAACAAACTAATTATATTCATATATACATGGTTAATAGTTATTCTTAAAATTGTTTTCAGTCTCTACATTCACCACCCTAATTGGCAATTTGTTCCACATGCTCACTTCGCGTTATGTGAACGAAGTTGACAGCCTTGCTTGTCAAGTATACAAGCATGTTCTCCAGTTCTATGGGTTGCAAGCAAACACTATAAACTCAAACTCAATCGATAGTCTAAAATTATGGATCATGTCACCCCGAATTCAAAGTGTATATGTAGTTTATTCAAGCACTTGGAACTGTTGCTGGAAAGATACAACACGATGTCACGGATCGTTTCTCTTCGAGTACATAACACCAGGCACCAGTAAACAACGTAGCCGTTATTTTGTGGAAATCTGTATTCGTGGCGTCAAAAAGATGTCTGGTTGTTACAACTCTATTACAAACACATCAAATTCCACCAATACATGATCACTGCTACCTAGACCACCGACAGAATTATTAAACATTTATGGTTCACCAATTGACTCTGCAAGTAGGAAAGTCTACATGTTGGGTCAACAAAGCATATAGAATCACATTCATAAACAGATCAACACGAGCATCTGGTCAAATACATGTAAATCCCAGGGGAAATTAAAGTCGCCCATAATCACAACATGGTTGACTGCAGCCTGGTTAATTAACCTGACTCCAATTGTTACTCTTATTACTGTTCGGAGACCGATAAACAACTCAGACAATAAGCTTTGTTGTCTTATGCGCAGCGACTAGAATTAGTAAATCCATTAATGTCAGTGTCTGCATAAACGCCATTATAAGTATCAACTCTATCCTGCCTAAAGGTTTCAAACCCTAAAGAAATCCATTGGTATCAATATGATCATTAGTCCGAGACTCAATACTTGTCTCTCAGTACCGCAAATGCTCTGAACTTTTTCATAACGCTGTGAACATTAGTGTCAAAACAAGATAATGTAGACAATTTTACTATTTACATTATTGTTTACAATATGAGTAATTCAGATATGTGTTGTTTTTTGCCGTATTTTCAGGTAAGCCACCCCAACTCATTCCCAGTATAATCATCCACCCCTTTATCTGTACCAATGCGCTGCACAGTAAAGTAATAAACCAGCGCAAAATGCAAATTTTTATAATTTTCCATTACATTTTGTTTCTCGGAAAATTTCGAGAAAATGAAATATTCTTATTTAAATACTGCTCAAACCTTAACTTGAACGATGCGAAAAATAATTTCAACTTTACTGTTGTTATTTCCCCAGACTTACATAACATCAACGTCACCCGTTCAATGTGGCAGACTTTACTCTGTAGCACATATCATGTAGGGTTTTATAGCAAAATATTTTATTCTCATCTAAGCTATTACAGCGGGGGCTTTCTAAGAAACTACCTGCCTCAAAGTTACAGCGTTCGGGATATAGCTATTTATCACAATAGATCCTGCCAGGAATTGCTGTTCGCTTTGAGAGAGCGCTTCTAGAAAGAACGTAATGTTCGATATTCGCTTGGAGTCAGTGGTAACACACGTTAAATGACCCATATATACATTAAAAAAGGAGGGGGTCTAATGGCTGTACAGGTACTGGAAATATAAAGTTCTTCATATCGAATATTGGTTTTATAGTGTAGTTTATCTTCGATAGTCAAACAGAGTGCGTGCGATTCAATGATTTGATTACACCCTACGACACTGAATACTGAAACATAAGGTCATACGAATCATACAGGAAACTTTTGTGCCAAAATTTAGTCCTAGTTATTCGCCTATTTTGGTGTATACTAAACGAACATACACTGTGACCTTGGCCTTTCTCCCGAAAATATACCCAGTGTCTGCCAAGTTTAAAGGCCAAGCCAAGAAATGTTGAGGCTATTTCTGGGAGGAGTAATAATGAACATTTTCTTATCATAATTCAGGTTGTGTATTTGTTGCAGAAAGTGACTGGTGAGTGTAGACTTGAGAACAAGTATGTTTTAGAACCCAATGTCGTCCGCGCAACGCGAACTTCAGAAATAAATTTTGGACATTGTCAATTAAATTCACTGGTGGACATAGACAGCTAAATCTATGTAACAACGTTGGCACAATAATATGATTTATTACTAAAGTGCGCCCTCTGTATAGCATACTCAGTTTTGCTTCGACTTTATTTAAGGTAGAAGCCTACTCATAAATTAAAATACCCAGAATTTATTCATTTTGGAGTAAACTGCACTCCAATGGAATATAAGGCTATTGATCTAAAAAAAGTTGGGGTCACCAGCCTTTTTTTCGAGAAATTGATTGTATTTTAGTGGAAACTCGCCATTTTGACACTATTATAACACTTTTACCACACGTTCCTATGGCAGAGATATTATGCAATATCTCAAAACCAAAATCTAAATCATATATTGTTAATGATGGGGTACTTTCTGTTGTTCTGAATTATTTAAAAAATCTGGGTTTTAAAAAGTGTGAAAAAAATGTGTTCGATGGAATTGTTCTAAAAATAGCAATTTTCAAGAAATATTAGGACACGTTTCTCAAAAAGCTTAACTGTAATTCACAAAATAATGCTATTTCATTGTACCATGAGACATTGGCTTCATGATTTACATAATAAACTAATGAACATTGTTATGTGATTTATGACCAATTTTGTCAAAAATTACCTTAACATTCCCACCCAGTCCTTGTCGAGCTATTTCCACGAATTTCAGTCCGAAATTTACCAACGATTGCTGAGATAGCTTAAACGTAGCTTTCAATAATAGCGCCATCAACTGATTCGCATTGACACTATATTTACGAATCAATCCAACAAACGGATTAACGTGCTTACTTTTCATGCAGGCGGTCATCATGAATGCCAGTGTACCCAACACCTACAATACACAGGGAAAGAAAATCAACTCCAAATCGGCAGCGTGTGCATACAATACAAAAATAAAATCACTGAAGCTTTAGAAAAACGATACTTAGAAGCAGCAAGTCCTACGTTGTCCAGAAGAATGAAAATTGACGCTGTACCAGAGTATGTAGCTAATATGTAGCACACACTTTCACGCACACACACGTAATAATAAATGCATAACACGATGCTAAAACGTCGAAAGTTGTCTTTCTGGCATGCACAAATGACTGCTGGAAGTCTCAAAGGCCGTGAAATTAAGAAAAACAACATTACGATAAATGAATTCCTGTACAAAATGGTCTAATAATGTAGTATAATTGATGAGTCACTTTAAATAGCGTCTGCTGATTGGTCCATTCCAATGTCTCTCGTCGATATAAGATTATGGTTGCTGGGAACGTATCAGCTTAGTACAAGTCTAATATCACAACAAATATTTACTTAATTAAAACAAAATATAGATTGATAATGTGTACAACTTCTCCTTTAAATTCCATATAAGGGGGCAAAATGTGACGATAGGTTAGTATGACGTCATTACACTGATGGTATGCGATGATATATGGCGGGTGTCACACGTTGAGAAGGATGTGCTCATTCATATCGAAACACTTGGCATCTGTATTTCAGATTTATCTTGCAATATATCTCACTAATTCGACTATTTACACTTTACTGTGTTACTTTGTATTTGTGGGTATTGTCAGGTGCTTGAATATTTTGGAGTAGCTTGTCGAATGTTTGTAAGTCATTATGTGCTCCTGTGTTTTTGTAATAAATGACCACGGATAAGGCTATTGTTTGAGTATATTTTACAATTGTTTCATCATTACGTCATCGGAAATGCTGATAACCAATCTACATAAAAAATCAATCATAAACCTGAATGAGTCATGTGCAGTCACATGACCACCAGCAGTCACGTGACCACCTGCAATCACGTGACCACATGCATGCTTATGCTTGGGATACTGACTCTAAATGTCATATTCTGTTTATTGTATTCTATTAAATTTACCTTTAGTCACATGACTAACCAGTGTCGTCTTTACAGATAAAATGTCCTGTTTTAATCAAGACATTGCCGTTACTCCCTCTCCAATCCCCTTTATGTAATTGCTCTAATATTTTCATTAGAATAAGTGCAACCATTGCAACGACACGTAACTCTCGTCAAATACACGTGGTATTGAAACATGTCATCGGAAACATGATATTTGCACATGGGTGTATTTATTAAAGTTTAGTTAGAGACAACATTGGTTTCTGTTTTAATTAAATGATCACAAAAAAAACAAAACATTATTCAATATCAATCCAGTTTTCCTAGATTAGCTTTATATCACATGGGTACAAACAGTGTATCCTATTCATGGTAATAGCTCAGATTGGTGCATGGCCTAGAATGCTTTTACAAGTTACACGCACTATTTTGAAAATTAAGGCTGCTTAACAGGAAAGCAGTGTAAAATATTGTGACAGGATCGATTCTTTTCATTAATACGCTGCGCATCGGAATTTTGAATGAGTTGCATTGTTTTCAATTCAAATTCAAGAACATCCTTGAGTAAACAGTAATCAAGACAAGATATTACAAACGCGCATATCAGCTTTTCTGTGCAATGTTTGTCTATCATATTGCGAATTTTACTGATTTTACAAATACATATGCTACCAACAAAATAACACCTGTTTTTCAATCAATTTCTCAAACAACCGTAATGTAATAAACTGATATTGGGCACTTGACCCCGGTGATAATCCCGTGATTATCAATAGCAATCATTATATCTAAGTAGCTTTCCAAAGTC